TGGCATTGGTCCTCAGCTGTTGTTGTTCTCTTTGCAATGCAAATTTCATTTGTAGAGGGGCCCACAAATAAAAGATCAAAACGCATAAATACATATAAACAATCAATGAAAAGTAGATAATCAGAGAGTGGGCAAGCATCCGGGAGGTGAGATGTTGGCTTCCTTCTTCACTACTTCCAGCTTCGTCTCCACATGTGCACTCCCTGCGGCGTTCATGTCTTGAGACTCCACTGGACCTTGCCAAGACCAGCCCCTATTGATCCCTATTGGATTGTGAAGGAACTAGTCTATGATCCACCCCTTCGTAGAATCCAAAAAGCCCCATAGAAGAAAACATAAGACAAAATATAAAAACAAAAAAAGAAAAATATAAAAAAGGTTGACATTCCATCCATGCTTCCAGCTCCACCAGTACTTGCGACTGCTGCATTCTGCTCATCACCTTGGAGCTTCCCCCCCTTCTTTTTGGATGGGCCATGCCAGACACCCTTGGAAAAATCGGTTGTGCCCTCACAGTGTCAAAACTATAAAATTATTCTGGTGTATGGGACACGCTAAGCTGGTGGGATTATGTTTTTTCTTAAAATATTCCAAATTATTCTGGGGTATGGGAGAATGTAAAGCTGTGGGAATAAAAACTTCAGATATCTGTGTTTTCGTAAATGTGTAACATTGCCTCAAACAAGGCACTCATAGTTTTTGACAGCAGCGTGCTGCCCCTCCACTCTTCACGAAGATAAATCCAAACGTGATGACTTACACGCTTATATCCAGTGGAAGACACTGAATCATTGTCCTCAGATGCAGAAGCAAAGCATTGGCTTTCTACATTTTACAGATCACATACTTGAAATCAACACTCAATGCCCTCTACCGCCAAAAAAATACCAAAAAATACAGAGGTTCTTCAAAGGCCCTACCCAAAAGCTCTGGTCCACTAATCAACAAGGGGCGCACACAGCTGTCCACACCTTCCACTTCTGGTTGAACGTTGGGGCACGCGTGTTGCCATGACCTCACATGAACTCGAATGCTCTGGAATCAAAGCCATCCATCAAGTATCCGCACAAAAGCCATTTAAAAAAAGGGTTCCTAAATCGCTTCAAGGCACAAGTTCCAACGCAACAACCTTTCGGAGGATCGGGTATCGTCATTGCAATAAAGATGTGAGAAATTATATGGCGGGTTTGAGCCAGAATCTCGAATCAGTGGTCAGCCCTGAATTGTGAACACAACGAATTCCAATTTGATCTGATTCGATCTGTGAACTCCCTTAAATAATTATTCTGTGGTAGGCAGAGGTTCGCCTGGACTATTATTCCATGGTACCCCCTAGTCTGTGTTCGCCATGGTCAAAATAGATTATTCCAAGATAGTTTTTTTGAATTATTCCTGGATAATTATTCCAGGGGGTTACCCGGACCATGGAATAATTATTTAAGGGAGGAGCCATTGTTTCTTCATGGCCTCATGTCTGAAAATGCGCGCCTATGGTCAGAGCGGGAATCATGGTCGGCAGGGCAGGCAAACCATGGTTGGGGCAATCCACCTTTCAATCATCCACCACCTTGGATGTATGGCATGATGTCAGAGGGTCAGCATCGAGAAAAGAATGTCATGGAGTCAATGCTCGAGTCATTGAGGTCCTCATGGGTGTCCCCAGGGCGAGATGGTGGTAAGGGTCTTTTGGGGCCGCTGTCGAATGGTCGAGACGGTAGAGGGCATGGTGCGGGTCATGTTTCTGCCGGTGATCCGGGACTTTTTCATGGGCAAGTTGGGGGGCCAAGAGCCAGCCTGATGGAGGTCTTCAATCGCGTCTCCTCCACATCTGGTGACATGATGCATGGCATGTTGGAGGCGTCGAGAACGTTAGCGAGGCATGGGATTGCCTCCTCGTGGTCTGAGCCTCCAGCGGGCGATGGTCGAAGCTCGAAGGGCTATGTGTCTGGCGAGTTCCAGGGTGGCACGGTTGGAGGTCTCTCTGGTCAGGGACAAGGTCTTTCTGGTGGCAGTGAACCCCAAGATCCAGTGGGTGGTCAGGGTCAGAACTCGAAAGAATCATCGGTGAGTGGTCCAGCAGTCCAACAACCAGCTGATCGGAATGGTCAAGGCAGCGGTTCGTCAGGAGTTACGGGTGGTGGTCATCAGGGAGGTGGTCATCATGAAGGCGGTCATCATGGAGGTGGTCAGCCGAATGGAGGAGGTCGCGGGTTTGGACAGCCATCTGGCGGGGTGCCTGGTGGAGGTTTTCCTCGCGGGTTTCCGGGTGCTCCAAACGGATTTCCTGGGGGCGGAGGCTTTTGTGGGGGCGGAGGCTTTCCTGGAGGCGGAGGTTTTCCTGGCGGAGGCGGCTTTTTTGGAGGTAGTGGCGGCTTTCCTGGGGGCCCGCCTGGTGGTGGCTTTCCGGGTGCTCCTGGAGGAGGACCCCCTGGTGGAGGAGATCCGGCAATGTTTGGAGGAGTTCCGGCGTGGCTGGGAGGCCTGATGGCTCAACAAGAGTCTGTTCGTGCAGTCGAACTCCCATCGCTCCAAGAGTTGTCGGAGTCTGAGATTGGACCCTTGATAGCTGGAGATTGGTTGACAACAATTGGGCCCTTCCTGCGGGACATTAGCGCCAGCTCTTCGCTTTGGTGGGATGAGGTCTTGAATGTGGCCGGTGCTTTACACAGGGTGTGGTTGAACTCCGAACCAATGGAAAGACTTCGCCTGGTTCCTGTCACACCACCGGCTTTCCAACGGCCACCATGGTTGAGGATTGAGCAACGAGGATCTGTTGCACTCTTGAAGGCCATCCCGGAGTCTCTGAGGTCAGAGTTGGTCTCGCAAAGGGAGGTGAGTTCCGTTAGCATCGTGTTCAAGGTCTTGCGAGTTTATACCAACCTGGTGGGCTTGGTGAACGTACGACTCTCCTCAAGCAGCTGGTCGACCAGAAAGTCCCAGGTCCGTTGGGGGAATGGCTCACTTCGCTTCGTGCTTGGAGGAGGTGGCTGATTCGAGTGCAGGAACTTGGAATTCAACCTCCTGATCCGGTCCTTCTCTTGGCCACTTTGGATAGGTTCGCTGCTGGGTTGGCAAAGCAGTCCACACAAGTCGCCTTCCGTCTGCAGGTCACTCGGGCAGCCTTGAGAGTTGACGTGGCTCCCACTGAGAATGGCATCCAGCAGTTTGCAGAGTCTCTGATGGCGGAGGGGGAAGCGGCCTTCCATGGGGGCTCGATTGCACCACTCAAGGACACCGTGAAGGTCAAGGCCCTAGATGGTGACGGAGGAGGAACCAGAGACGAGGGGGGAAAGCCTCGTGAGGGTCGGGAGAAGGTCAAGGAGTCATCCGAAGTCAAGGGTGGCAAAGATGCCAAGGAGTCCAAGAACGACAAGTTCGAGGCGAAGAACGGCAAGGGTGATTCGAAGGGTGGTGGTTCGGAGAAGCCGGTGTGCCGCTACTTCGAGCAGCTGAAAGTCAAGCTGTTGGATGACCAAGCAAGTCTTCCAACGAGGGCATCTTCTCAAGCGGCAGGCTGGGACTTAGCTTCATCATGCTATGTGGAGCTGAAGCCGGGGGAAAGGAAGCTGGTCCCGTTGGGAATCTCTGTGGAGTTGCCCGCAGGTTGCTATGGCAGGATCGCTTCTCGAAGCTCTTTCGCCCTACGGGGTATTGACGTTGCTGGAGTTGTGATTGACCCTGATTATCGAGGAGAAGTGAAGATCATCCTGGTGAACAATGGGATGGACGACCTCGTGATCAATGCTGGTGACCGTGTTGGCCAGTTGGTTCTTGAGCGCTTTGCTGTGGTGGAAGCAGTGAGTTCGAGGGTACCGAGCGAGGAGATGGGGCTTCGGAAGCTCTGGCATTGCTGCACGGCGTTTGTCCAGGGTCCACTCAGATCCTCGCGAGGACGTCATTGCAGAACCCCTGGAAGGTGAAACAGGCCACACCGAGGACATCCCCTTGAATCCTGGCCATGCATTTTTTGAAGGTGTACACACGGCGAAAAATGGGGAGAGTATGGTGGACTTCATCAACCGGCTGAAGCGTCAAGAGCTCTATGACTTTCGATGGATGTTTCCTGCCGGTCTGATGGCTGAGCTTTTTCCAGACCGACTTCATGGAGCTCCTATGACTTTCAACCAGAAGGTGCAGGGTGGCACGATTCAAGTGTTGGTCCACCGGCATCCGAACATGAGAAAGAAGCTGTTTGACTCCGAGGCTTCAGCTCCGCCACCGCAAGATGGCATCACAGCTGGAGTGGTGACGTTGGGGTGGGCAGAGGACGGCATGATCTTCGCCAGGGTTGACAACAGAAGGGGATCTCGTTCGATGTGCTACCTCAAAACGCAGTGGAAGGGTATGAGCCTTTTCTTTTCCTGGCTGAATCCACTGGGGAGCGCCCGGTGAATGGCGAGGAGGAAGAGCTCTATGGTGGCCCGCTGAGTTAGCTAGGATCGTTCTTAGCTTTTTGTTCGTGAGCTCTTTTTTGTGCCGACCAGGCCATTCAAATGGGGAATGGATGCTGGCGCCTTTTTGAGTGATGAATGTTCAGCTCGCTTGGCCTAGAGTCACCACCTGAAACTCAACTTTCGAAGGGGCTTGAGTCAGGAACTTTTGAGGTACTGTGCCAACCTCCTGGAAGAACCCGAGAAATTCGGGAGGGGGGAGCATGAGTGGCACAGTCTTTTCCATGTCTTAAGATGTTTGAAGTTGGAACGTTGAGCATGGGCATTCACTTGTAGCCCTTTGTTTGCACAAGGAAAACAGAAGCGTTTTGTGCGGCGTAACTACCTTGTCCGGTGCTTGGGGTGGGTGACAGGCGGGTCAGTCCCTAATTCTGAGGATGGTGGGCTCCAGCCATATCCTCAGGTTCGGTATGACTGGGCCCTCCTCTGGGGCCCTCCTGGTACCCACTCCAGTCCCACCGAAACGAAGGTATGACTGGAGTCCGATGTGGAAGGATGCGGAACAGGAGATGAACTCGTTCTCGTTTCCCATTCCTTCGGCCCCTCCGCCTGCCGAACATTCTGGTCATCCCAGTCACTGGCAAAGGGGAGGCCTCTGCGCGTTCGCTGCGGCGAGGGCGAGTGAAGGCGCCTCTTGGAAACTTGATGATACAGTGTACAGTTTGTCAATCATGCAGGGTTCCCATGTGTTCTATAAAGTGGCCCGGCACGACTGTTAGTTGTTCAATATGACTTTGCGAATGCTCATGATTGCATGGTTTGGGGAAGTTGTACTGTATAGTATTGTAGCGTGACTACACGTTTTGACAACGAACAGGCTGCAAAGAAACAGGGGCTTTGAAGATGGCCCTTTGAGCATACTATACTGACCTTGGCAACTTGACAACCAGCAAGTTCTTCTTCGTCTGCAGGGTGGGTTTGATCTGCGGGTCGAGCCTTTGCTCCAAAAAAAACAACATCAAGAAGAGGAGCCTCCTCCAATGAAAGACCAGG